CTAAACAGGTTATGAGCAAATGGATAGTCGAGGCTGTATCATTGGCTTATGAAGCGGCCGGTCAGCCTTCACCTATGGCTGTACGGGCCCATTCTACAAGGAGTATGGCGGCCTCTACGGCCTTAATTTCGGGTGTTTCCCTTCTTGACATTTGTAATGCGGCAGGTTGGTCCTCTCCACATACATTTGTCAGGTTTTATGACCTTGACCTCTCCACTCCTGGGGCGAGGTTGCTTGCTTCTTAGTGTGCGCAAGGACTTCACACAGAACGGGCATTTGTCACTATGGCGTAGTGGGTATGGGGTTCCCACCGCGTCTCAAACGCAGCTCGAAGTTCCCTTGAAAGGGAACGTCTCAGGTTACGTATGTAACCCTGGTTCCCTGAGAGGGAACGAGACGCTGCGTTTGCCTGCCATACTTCCTGCATGCCCTGATCGACTTGCTTCAGACTTTTTCAGAAGCTGTCGCGGTCTGTTTTCAAAGGTGCTTTATAGTTTCCTGGTCTATGACGTCACCCATGGCGTATCGGGCTTCCATTGGACTGATTTTACACGTGCTTCATGACGCAATCACGCAGAGCGTTCCCACCGCGTCTCAAACGCAGCGTCTCGTTCCCTCTCAGGGAACCAGGGTTACATACGTAACCTGAGACGTTTTTATTTTGAAGAGAAAATATCAAATTAGACCCTTGGGGTAAGATTGCCCCCCAGAAGTGGCATGTTTTTACGTGTGTTTTTTTTATTTAATAATTATTGAATAAAAGCACCATGAATTGCAATGAGTAAGATGTACAATTTAGACATCTTGGCTGTTCATTAACCCTCTAGTCTACAGCACAGTGTTACCCTCAGGCAACAGAAAGTTTTCTTAAGCCCCATGTTCACCTGGCAGTCACTATCAAGCACCATTTGAAAGTGGTACTTCCTTTTTACATTGGTCACACCGTCACAGGAGCACATGGTGTGAGAAGGTGGCAAGATTATTTGCTTTAGTAATCTTATTTAAAATGACATGAACTGTACATACAAAATGTGTGTGACTATTAACCCTTTAAAGTCCGCACCAAGAAAAAAAGTGATGGAAAATGTTTTTGTTTGCATTTCTTATCTCCTTATGTCGCTAGTAACCACTCTCAATGTATTTTTTTTTTCAACACATCCCATACTTTTTTAAATATCGGCCTCTACCAAATGGTTGAGATGTCACGATTAATGTCACTTAATCTTTTACCGGAATTCATACACATACTTTGCCATACTTTTTCATTGCCCATCATAATTTATGATCAAAACCTTTTCCAATCTTGACAAAACACATTGTCAGAAAGGTCTTAGTCTCAAGGTTCCATATTTTGTGACAGAAGTGATATTTGGACAGAAATTTATTAATTTGTTACAGCAGAATGCATACAATTAAATTCAATTGAATTTATGTCATATTTGGTATTACGCCTAAACAAAATATCATGGGAACTTCAATTTTTGTGATATCAACTTCAAATTTGGAACACAACTTGGTTAGATATATGGCTTTGATTTTGTAGTAATTGTATAGAAAAAAATATTTTGTAAAATATATATTTTATATAAAAGAAAAAATATTAAGTACAGTATATTTGATTTAATGTAAATTTAAAACTTCTATAACTTTTTCATACTTTTATTTTTTGAAGTGCTTTTTACTTCAGCAATAATCTGCTGAGTGTTTTCTTTAAAACAAGACCAAACTTAGGTCTTTATTCGGAAGCATTCTTGAATTACAACCAAGTTTTAATAGTGCATGGTAATATCCATTCTGAAAAAGGGGGGGTGACAGTTAACTGTTATGTGCCAAATCAACCGTTTGGTTGAGCATGTTTTTGAAAAATTATTAAAAACATACTTAAGTTTTTTTCATGGCACCAAGTAACATACTTTTGTAAAGTAAGGGCTCTTACAGTGTAATATGTAAAAAATATATATATATACTTAGCTTGCAAAATTTCCCCCAAAACAGTTCACATGGCTGGGGTGATTTCATAGACAGTAAAAGAAAGGGTGATTTATTTGTTTCTGACATACATGTTAGAAGAAGTGTTGTGACAAGTGCTGTTGATTGACACAGTGACATCTAGTGGATTTTTTTGGCATAACATACCTCAACCAGATGGTAGAGATGGCTCAATCAGTTAGAGTTAAGTTAGGTACTCCTCTCAATAAAATATAGTGACTCAAAATGTGCTCAACCGTTTGGTTGAGAAGTCAGAGAAGCCCTTAAGAAGTTATTATTTTATTTTGCATGGTCAGAAATTGCCTCGGCAACGTTGTGCCATAAGGGGTACTTTTCAAGGATGTCTTTGTTTACAATGTGTTTGGACGTTAACACATCACGTATTAGTGCACAATATATGCTCTAAATATATTTGTATTTATTTTTGTATTCTTGACATTTTTGAAAAAGATTTGTGATTTTGTATTGCTCTCTGACCATTGTCAAAAAAGATTATCAATAAAATGTTCCAAGAAATTGTGGAATCATTTTTATCATGTAGGCTACCATCAAAATGTGTGTAGAGGGTTAAAAACCTTAGTTTATTAAAATGGCAAATAGTGTTGCTATTATGAGATACCTTCAATTAAAATATGGATGGATAAATATGTATATATTTATATGGTTGTATAGTTATATAATACATTTACTTAGATGAATCTCTTTTAGGCCTACTGAGATTCTCCTTGGTCTGTCGTAGGTTATTCAATTGTTGTGAAGGCCAATTGTATTATCATTAATACAATTAGTGGGCCTCTTGAATAATTTTACATTTTGTTCGACAACTTAATTAGTTTTTAGTAGCCTAATGTTTCTATTTATTTTGCGTGTGGTTTCAGTTTTTCCTAAAAAAAAAATCGTAAATTTATAATATATTTTAGTATGAACGTTTTTGGTGAATCATGATTTGTTCGTGAACACGTTTGTGAGTAGGCTATACATCTTAGTGAATGAGACCCATTGTTCTTAAGGGGGACATCTTCCCCAATTAGCTGTATTTTTTAAACAATTTGTGCCAAAAAATAAAAAAATATTTGTTTCGTTTTTTTTGTATGTATTTCGAAGTTGCTGTTACTTTATAAAGTGTGGTAATTTCCTTTTCAAGCCACAAGATGGCGGCAATTCATCAGGACTTCCGTTAACTTAAAAGGAAACGATAGAGCTTGCATATTTGGAGTTTGTTATCTAGTACCCGTCATTGGTATTTCTATTAGCCTATTTTTAATAGATTTTTTTTTTAAAGTACAGAAAAGCTGAACATTTCCAACAATATGGGCCATGGAAAAAAAGCCCTTTTGTGACAACTTCTGTAGAGCCACATGCTATAATTGAAAAAAAAAAAATGGAGTATTTTATTCAGTATATAGTCTATATCTGATCATTAAAATCTACTGTCACAATATCCCTCACATTTTTAAAGCCTTGGTTTTGTCTCTATGAAATTCTTCATAAAGCAAAGAAAAACCAACATCGAATCACATCATCATTAAATATAATTATTATTTTAAGTCTTTTGTATAACACCAACATAGTGTGGCTGAGAGATGCCAACAGTGGCAACTGGGCAGTCTTGTGCACCAGTAATGTGGGCTGCTTTCCATCCAGCCAATTAGTGTAGTATTTCTTGAGCTTTAAAGAGAAAACTGGTGATCTCCTGAGAGTGGTCTTGAAATACGCCAGGAAAAATGCAGACATCAAACAATAAACAGAAATTATTTGAGAATTTAAGAGTCTGTGTATGAACTGTATTTTTTATGAGGTCAAGGTAACAGGTTATAATGAGGTAGTCAGTAGTAGTTCACTGGCAATATTTAAATTTAAATTGATAACTTTTACAACAGTCATTATTAAATGTAAAGAGTGCATACAGTAGCCTACTATGGCCAAACTTTGATCCTGGTTAAAGAGGGAATACTGTCTGAGTAGAGCAGGATATATTAAAATTAACTTTAATCTATTTTTTTGTTAATATTTATTATAAAACATTTTTTAATTCATATAAAGTTAACCCTTTAAAATGATTTTGAAAAGAAACACAAATTGTCCAATGAAGGAAAACACTTTTATGCAAAATTAAAGAAAATTATTTCTTGGTTTGGTCTCGTTAATCTTTGAACATGACAACGTAATGATTACAAGTTAGTTTGACAAGGATGTGAATATTGCATATATATTTAAAATACTGTCACAAATCCCTTACATTTTAAAGCAGTGGTTTTATTACAGCATTTAGGCCTATGTATTCTCTAAAAGTAAAAGATGGCAACAATGTAAAATCTGAAAGTAGGCCTTCATTATTATTAAAATACCAATTCAGCCACTTCTGATCAATTGAAAATATTTAGACATACAGAATTGATAAAATAACCATAATTGATCTCTCTTTTTGCCTACACATGGAGTTTGTAGAGCAATATTGTTACTTTAGCACTGCTGTTAATCATGTTTGTGCATGTTAAGGCTGATTCACACCAACACAAATGTGTACGATTTTGGGACCTGTTAAAACCAATGCATAAAAACCCCCAATGGGGGTGGGAACTCCAAAACGTGGTGAGCTCCCCTCTCTCTCTCTCTCTCTCTCTCTCTCTCTCATATATATATATAGAACGGAAAATACCCCAGCAACATGCCATAAACAAAGCACTGCTTAACTGTCTGTTCATGTCGTGACATCTGCTAGTCACGAAGAAGGAAGTTAAATCTCTTCAATCAGATTCAGACATCAAGCAACATGTACAATAAGAGTACAAAGAGACAAGAGAGCCTGTTCCTTCCAGACTGTTCCTCCGCTGTTCACTCACTGTCGCTCAGCAAAATAGTCTGTTCGTGAGCGCCACCAAGTCTTAGTTTTATGTAACAGCATCTGCTCTGACCATGTGACCAAAAACATATATCTTATTGGTTGGCCAGTTTTCTTAACTGTGCAAGATGAAAAATAAAGATCACCTCTCCGTAAAAAATAGATTGCATTGACGGCATGCAAATCTTTGTTTTGTTCTAAACGGACATTACCAGTAGTTCATTAGAATTCAAATGTTTATCGCAACAAATTTTCACAATTGTCTTCACTGTGAACAGGCTTTTAGCAAGTAATGAACACAACAGCCACTGCAGGTAACTTACGTACTCTTATTAGACACCATAGAGGGCCCTGTCTAAATCACAGCACGTTGAGTCCAAATAAATGCTGGAATGACTCATTCCTCGACACACTTGTAGTCACCCACAGTTCTTCAGGTCCAGTTCTGAGTCTCAGTTAGCATAAATGTTGCAATACTTTGGTAGTGTCAGATAAATCATACCCATACCGTTGTGTTGTTCTCAGGAGGTTTCTCCTGTCAAGCGAAAAGGATGAAATGTTAATGCAAATGCAGTTGTGCCACAACAGTTTAGCACTCAAAATATGCTGTTTTGTTGTTGAAGAATTTACGTATATGAAGAAGCCTTTGCATCTTACCCGCTGCTGTTGTATGTAGACCACAGCATCATGGATTGTAATAAAGATATGCTGAGGATTCATGTATTTCATGAGCCCACTGGATGTGAGAATCTTCAGTACACTCTCTACAGAGGAGAGAAAATATTACACTCAGGAAGTAGTTTGTAAGGTTTGTCCAAGTATATACCTGGAAACTCACCATTGCAGTTAGCCAGGTATATCGTTATCCCAATCTTCTGGCACTCCATGCACATCTGTGAAAGGATATAAGTACCGTGAGCATATGACACGATTCGACTGGTGTCAAAACAAAACCTATACGGCCCAGGTCACCTGTATGAATAACCGAGCTCCCGCAACATCCACAAAAATGACACTGCTGCAGTCTATCAACACGGCCTGGACTTCACCCTCAGCCATCTCTGCAATAAACAATTGAGGAAAAGCCACAAGTGTGATTCGTCTGAAATAAAAGACTCTCTAATGTGATTTTTGATGCTGCCAAATAAAAATAGGAATGGACCTGATCTGAACAAGTCATTATTTGAAGAAAATGAACTGTCTGCAACTCCTTGTTCCTTGAAAAAAAAAAAAAAATATATCCAATCAAATGTTTTCTTTTCATAATCTGTTATTTTGTTGTTGTTAGAAGAAAATCTCCAAAATATCACATCAAAATAATAATACATTACTGATTACAGTCATAGGTAATAAATGCAAAAAAAAGTTTTTTTGCATTACAGTGATTTTAAAAGAAGTTAAATGCAGGTAATATAAAACCACAGCTACAGTATGAGACACCAATATTCAATAAAAATGAAATAATAATATTTAATATTATATAAAAGGTGCACTATGTAACTTTTGGCCCCTCTAGCATAAAGCGGCATGCTTTTTGTGGAAGAACATTGTTTTGGGTGTGTTTCGGCTCTGCGTGACTGCGGATAAATATGACAACTAACTGTTCAAAAGCAACATATGGCAATTTATCTGTTCAATAAAATACCTTACTCACCTGTTGCGTAATAAAAATCCCATCTCTGCGTCGCTTTTACAACATTTCAAATTCCTCAGTTCTCGTATCTCAAAAAAGCCAACCCAATGTCGATTCTCGTTTTATTACGAGCTCTGTCGCGTTCTCTTTATGCCGGCAGACTCTCCTCTGTTCGGCGTTTAAAAAAAAAGGGATTTTCGAGATTTGGCTGTTCCATGTCTACCTTTCTCACTCGTAGTGACAACTAACCTATGATACTCCGTCACCATATACGTGTCAAAGAATGACGAGACACTCACGGGCGGGTGGAGTATGTACGTAATTTCCAGTGAAAACCATCCCGTCAGGTCTAAAATATAAACGCTTATAATAGGCTTAACATAGCGAATCAGGGTAAGACAAAAACACGTTTTGGAAGAAGGATTGATAATGTATTTACTCTTTGGTTAAATTTAGTTCATTTTGAACAAAAAAAAGTTACATAGTGTACCTTTAATAAACAGTTCTTCCATTAAGTAATATAGTTCAGTATTCTAATTACATAACTAATATAATATGACACATGGTGACTTGGCGCATTAACAATTAACAGAATGTGCATTTGTGCTTTTACAACAGCTCTGAACAAGGCTAATGAACATTCAGAACTATTTTTTTATGTAATAAATTATTTTAAATAAAATGCTAGTGGACATTTTCAGGCTTAAGCGAGCAAATAATACAAAAAGCAAAACTATAGATATAAATTGATAGATTGATCATCTTACTACAGAGCTAATGGCCTCTCTCTCTCTCTTCGCTTTGGCCTTCAGGGCTTTCTCTCGGCTGCGTATCCTCTCAGGCGTGAGGCCCAGAAGCTGAGCCATATCGGCCTTGAAAAAGCTACGGTTGCCATAGTAGATAGGCCCATTGTAAGTCAGGATCTTCATACCAGGAACTTCATAGCACTACAATTCAGAGGGATGGAGAGGGTGTAACCACATCATCAGTTACACAACAGAGAAGTGATTGAGACAAATGCAGCCGAGCAAAGGTTAAGCGATTGCATTTACAAAAAAGGCCCAATTCTAATCATAGTAAATTACATTATGTGTGGTAATAAGCAAAGAAACTTAATATGACTGACTCTGTTGACTCACTTTATTATGGTTGTTGATGGATCTGTAGATCTCCGTGTTGGCGGCTCTTCCTAACACAGAGCAGCTGGCCCTGAAAACAGAAAGTTTACTGTGAGTTCAGGGACATCTTTTTGTCTCAACTTTATCTCCTCTTTCCTTAAATGTGAATTTCATATCCGCCAGGAGAGGAAGGTTGTTTTGGAACACAGGGGTCTGTAAGGGATACTGGTTTGCTGTTTGTATATAGCCCCTGAGCTTTGGAAAGCATAATTAAAGGATGTAGTAAACATGATTATTAAAGCAGATAAATACACAAATCTAATTAGGTAGTTTCGATCTCAATTATATTATGTACTCAATATCTTGTTTCACTGGGGCTGCTCTAGTTGGATTGCTAATATCGTTATCTCTATACGGTCAGAATGATACTCTAATTCAGTGGTTCCAAGCTTTCTCCCAGAGGATCACTTTAAAATGCTATATGTTTCACAACACTTCTGAAATCTAAGCATACTTGTAATTAAATCTGATTTACACAGAAGTACACTGCATCCACAAACAATTTGGTTATCCTTAATGTAAAAAATGACATGCCAATTCATCTTTTATGGGAATCCTGTGCATTCTTTTTCTACAGCAAGTATATTTAGGTGTGATTTTTTTGCTTGCCAAACTAAAATCATTGCACACTTCCAATATGTTGCATGGTGTTTGGATCAGAAATATATATTTTTTTTAAATGCAATTTTTTTTTTGACATGTATAGAACTGTTTGGTCTGGTTTAGCCATATGGTTTTAATCATTTTTATTATATAATCATTTAAAATCTATTATCTTTTTTTTTCACTAAAGAATTTTCACTTATTTATGTATTTAGTGCACAGATTAGGTTTTAGTGACTTAGAGTTAAATCCAAAGCTGTGTCATAGTGGATGTAATCGGATGCACTCATTCAATCCCATACAATGCACTACAACTGATGTACACTCAACTAGAGAATATCCATAATGCACTGTAAGAGTCGCACGCATGGCAAATGAATTCCCGCGTCTTGTCAGAAGATGGCGCCCGCAGCTGAATCATCCATCCATCCATTTTCCAAACCGCTGGTCAAATGTGGCTACAGCATAATGTCATACAGGTATAAATTCCGTTTTAATTGATCATTAAATTGTTTAGTTAAGGTTATAGTTTCCATGGCAGAGTTCAAGATGAGTCTTTTCATCTAACAACTGGAGCTGCCAGTTTGTTAAGTTTCAAATGATTATTAAACAGCAAGAACAAACTATAAAACAGCGGCAGCCCTTCCGGCGCACTCAGTGTCTGAATTCATTCACTTGTTTTTATTCACTCCTTCAAGTGAACTATATTTGTGGAATAATGTGGGGAATAGTAAATGAGGTATTTAGAACACAGCCCAAGTGTGCCGCACATGTCATGAAAAGGGAAGCCAAAACATTTTGATCACCCCCTGGTGGCTGGCTGCAGTATAGGTCATTAACCATTGTAAACCATAAACCATGTGATAAAACGGGGTGTAACGTAACAATTGGCAGCTTTGCTTGCGATTGAGGGTAGGTTTACATGACAATGATGTACTAAAAAAAGACGCTTGACGTCACCGTTTGCACAAATTCGCTTTTTTGAGACAATAATGGTATGGTTTTCAAAAACTTGCACTTTGAAACACGTTTTTAAAAGTTTGCCATTTCAGGCCTCCAAAACGCTGTTGTCGTGTAAATGAATGGCCAAAACACAAAGTTTTTCATTTTAGTTGAAAACTGGGTAGTGTAAACGGCCCCTGAATCTGCAGGAGTATGGGTGGCTCCATGGGCGGCACTACTGGGCAGCCTCGGGCTCCAAATGACGTAATCAGCACACTATGTCAACGGCCATTTCTGGGATATTTTGGCTCCATTTTTCTACAGTGGAAGGAAGTGGAGACATGTCATCCACCTTTTTTTACAGTCCATGTTGAAATCATAATCATTTCCTCTAAAATCAAGTATGTGTGGCGACCCTAAGAGAGCACTAGTAACCCCTAGTGGAAGTCATGACCCTGAAGTTGGGATACCCTGCTCTAATTTATACTAAATATCTCAAAACGTGACAATATGCCCATAATGGGAAGTGTCAAAGCATTTTATCCAATAAATAAAGTTTAATTTGAACAAAATGAGTATATAATGCCCTAAGAATACCTCTGTGTGCGACAGATAACTGTCATCATGGAGAAGACCACCCCAATGGCCAGGCCCAGGTCAACATTTAGCACAACTACTGACAGCCAGGTCACAAGCCACACCATCTGCTCAGACATATAACAAGAATTCAAATTGATCAGCTGGACTCAATGTCAAATTAAAGATATATAGCACTTTTCTGGGAACGAGAATTGGTAAAAACATACAAAATCGATTTTGCTGACTCTCCAAAGGTCAGGAAGATCCTGAAACAGCAGAAACATCTGTCTCAGGCTGGTTACGTTTATACAAGCAAGCACTGCCTGGGTGGAGAGAAGGGAGAGGGATGTTGTTGGTTATATTGATAATTCCTTAAAGAGAACATTAATTCAAAATGTACACTATTTGTTTTGTAACTATGTAATGTCTATGAACCATAAGACAGTATTACTCTACATAAATATCCCAAATTACACTCTGAAATGTATTGCAAATCTGTCATTGGTAAACCTAGATAACAAAACAAAATGTTTCCTAAGAACTTTTTTGATAAAGTTTTGATTAAGTTATTTCTAAATTTTCTCAGGACGTTCAAAATGTCCAATTTTTTAAATGTTTAAAAACATTTTTCTTGTTTGTGGGCAAGGTTAGCAAAGACATTAAGGGAATGTTTGATCATTTTAAACATTATGGGAACATTACTTTTTGAATGTTGAAAATTTTGAAACAAGTAGTAAATAATAATAAAAAAGTTAGACGAATATCCAACTAAAATGTTTCAGAAAAAATATTCCATGAATGATGTACACTTTAGTGCTAAAATATTGAGAACATCATTAAAGACCAGATAAATATGAACAAACATTCTATTAATGTAACTGGAAGAACGTTTGTTGAAAACTTTGAGAAATCCTTGCTAGAAAATTAGCCAAAGTTCTGAGAATGTTTCCTGTTAGCTGGGAAGGGACTCTTACCTTGGGTAGGAAGTAAAATAGAGGTCCTATCAGCAGAAGTACAATAAGAACAACCAGACTTGTGAACAGTCCAGCGAGCTGTTGAAGAAAAGGGGTTTTATCTAACTGCTCTACTATGTTCGACAAACAAGAAAAAACCTGTAAAGAAAATCATTACCTTAACTTCTAGCAGTGAATAAACTACAGCAAAAATGTAATTATCACAGCATGACCTTCGCAACATAACATTGCTTAGTTTTTTTTGTTTTGTTTGTTTTTTACATGAATTAAGTGGCTGAACAGTGAACAGCAGAGGTGATCTCAAACAAACCAGTACCTGTGTGTGACCTCCAGCACTCTCCAGTATGTTGGTGGTGGCCAGTGTAGCTGAATTGGGGAAGCAGGTGAAGAGAGATGACACAGTGTTGGAGATCCCATGTGCTAGAAGCTCCTACAACAACAAGAACATTATCTTTTGTTATTACACGTTTCTGTGGAATACTTGATTCTGATTGGTCAATCGCGCCATCCAGCGGTAAATTATTCCCAGATAACAACCGCTGAAAACAGATAACACAGGCTCATCCGGGTTACTGAAGTCAGCAGCGCTATACGCTTGCTAGGAAAGTTTTTTCTTCTGGGAAGTTTTGCATTTGGTGAAGTCGAATCAATATTTTGTGTAGTTATTTAATTATGCCATCCAGTATCATGGACTCGCTCTCTCTTGTTTCATACAAACGTAGCTGCTGCCATTTTGTGACTATTGTTTTGTACACTGTTGGATTATAAAACACAAACAGGTACAATTATAAAACAGTCTCATCCAAAATCAATATCTCTTCTCTTCATAATTATGTGTGGCGAAATGCTGTGTAATACTGTAAGTGGTACGGCTGTATACCGTATCTGTTAAATGTCCGTCTAGTTTGAACCAGTTGAACTGGCAACTGCTCTTTCCACGGAAGCTTTGCATTTAAAGACCTAAAAAAATATTTTAACTCAGATCAATATTTCGTGTCTAATTATTTACTAATGTGGAAAGTAGCCGTGTAATAAGCGGGATAATGCAAGTCCTCATCACCCTGTCGCCGGGGGTTTATTCTGAGAGAACAACCGGCTGGATGTACATTATCCCTTACATGACTAACACATTTACAAACCTATAACCATGGCTTAACTTGCACCATGCTCCAGTTCCACCAGTCAAAACTTTTTTGAACTTTGATTATAAATACAGTATTTACCTGATTTGGATCAATGGAGTATCCATGTTTATCTGCATAAATCATGGCCAGAGAAACAGACACAGCGTAGGCAACAAGGGTGATAGCAACTGTGTCACCAGCAATTTGTGGAACTGTCTCCAAAGCAGGCAGCCGTGGCTCAGGGAAGCTGAAAAAATAGTAAACTTTTAGCTTTAAATTATAGTTGGTCCCACTTTATATTAAGTGTCTTTAACTACTGCGTACTAACATTAAAATTAATAATTTGAAACAATGCACTTATTGAGTTCATACCATTTTTAACACTGTACTTATATTAAAAAAATACCTGCATTTTCTATAATTAATTTCTGTAATTACATCTATAATTGCACTATTGACCCTTCCCTTACACCTTAACCCACCCTTAAACCTATCCATACCACCAAACCTGTCCCTAACCTTACCTGTATTTTGCAATACTACATCAACACAACTTTTATTTTTATGTAAGTACATAGTAGTTAAAGACACCTAATATAAATTGTGATCTTATAGTTAAACTGCAGGTTGTTTTTGAATTGCAGGTTAAATACAATTAAATATATAGATGCATTAAATTGATTAAAATTGACAGTAGTCTTTTACATTGTTACAAAATATGCCTATTTCAAATAAATGCTGTTCTTCTGAACTTTCTATTCATCAAAGAAAAAAATGCATCACAGTTCCCAAAACTGTTTTTAACAGTGATAATAAGAAATGTTTCTTGAGCACCAAATCAGCATAAACTGTAAGAATAATTTATAAAGACTGAAATAATGGCTGCTGAAAATTCAGCTTTACCCTAACATGAATAAATTACATTTTAAAATATATTAATAGAAAACAGCTATTTTAGATTGTTATAATATTTAACAATATTACTGTATTTCTGATCAAATGAATGCAGCCTTGCTGAGCATGAAACATTTAAAAAATATTACAGATCCTAAACCTTTGAACGGTAGTGTATATACCATTACTATTGATGAATATTATGAATATAATGTATTAGATAAAAGAATATATTACCCTGCTGGAATATGTCCTACTATCTGTATGTCATACTTGGAGTCCAGAGAAAAGACATATGTAATTCCTGTTGCAATTATTACCTGCAGGAGCCACAACAGAATGGAAGATTATTTTTCACAATAAGCAGACCACAGCAGAAAATATGGTTGATGATGAAACTCTCATTATACTGGACTAGTTGGCTGACGAATGGCAAATATTTGTACAAAAGTTCATTTACTTATTTATGTCTGTGAGTCACTCTAAATCTTTTCAAATGCCTGTTGTGAAGTGCAGACTCACAGTGATGATCTCTATAGGGATGGGAGTTCGCAGGCGCTCCCGAAAGCGTGAGTTGACCTCTTTAACCGGCACCAGAACAGCCAGGCAGAGCAGTGATATCACCAGCTCAGCCAAATTAGTGTGGGGCACATTCTCCATCACTGAAGCCAGAGTCTGTGGGTTTAAAGGGAACCTCTGACATGCCTGATTCATTTGTGCTCAGTCATATTCAGTGATACTGCTTCAGTTGTTACTAGAATTATTACACCAGTAATCAGAAAAGGAAAAAACAGTCTGTGTTATGCCATTTCTGACCTTAAAAAGAGAGAAGGCACCAGCATATCGTGGTAGTCGTAATCCCAACATGCTTTGCAGCTGTGAGACGGTCACATGGAAGGCGGCTGCACTTGTGAACGCCTTAACAATCGGTTCCGAGAGGTATGTGGAAAGGAAACCCAACTGGAGGCCACACATGCATAGCTGAGACAATAAAAACAAGCAACACAATCTCATAATTCTGTTTTAAAGTGCTATATGTTTAAGTTGAGCAGATATTGTTTACCATCATTATGCCTGAGAGAAATGCTACAGCTGATGCCACCCCAATTCTCTGGGCCTCAAACTCTGCAGCCTCTGGGCTACTGGAATTCAGAGCAAGCGGGATGGGAACCAGTTGCTCCACCACCGAGCCAGTCATCAGACTCAACACAGCAAAGGTACCTGCAAAAGTCAATCCCTTGGATTATGGTATTTCATTTTCTTGATTAAACATTGACTTTGACATGGTTGCGGATTAAATTTGTTTTTTCACAACTCTGGTAAATGATCGGTCTTTTACCTGTGGAAACGTGGTGACCAGTGCCGAAGAGCATATAGAGAACCACAGGGAAGAATGATGTGTAAAGACCATAGACAGGAGCCACCGATGTCAACAAAGCAAAGGCCATTCCTAAAAACAACGAAAAAATTATGTTTGTTGTCTTGAATATGGGTCAAGAAGACATGATGCATATTCAATTCATTTATTAAATTAAAAGTTCCACACAAAACCTTAAATAGGCTAATGCATTTTCTATGATGAACATGATGTAGCCAATTCGCCAAATCGCCAAATCAAATTCACCGTAAACTCGTAACGAATGCAGGACGCCATATTACTGTCATGTGACAAGTAACGTTTTTTCATCATGTATTTTAACTTTTTATGTAAAGTTTTGTTCAATGCGAAATTGCGAATGGAGTAAGTAAACATAAGAAAACGTCACGATATTATTTGTTACTCAAAATGTATGCACTTTGTCTTTCAATTCAATTGTGTTCTCATGTGCATTCAAGTTACAAATAAATTAGTTTAACACTTTTTATTCGATGGTTAAGACTCTTTTTTTTGGATTATTTATTAGGCTATTATTTAAATAAATAAAAAATTGAACGTTTTTACAAAACCATTTAAATCTGACGTTATACAGAGGTTTATACATTTCCAAGAACTTGACAAGTATTTTAAACCAAATTTGTAAATATATATATATATATAGGCCTAAACTTTTTGATGTTTAGATCAAGACAGACAAACAGTCTAACAATAGTTTTTTTTTTCTAACAAAAAAAAGTTTATCTCATTAAAACCGTAGCTATACCGCAACAAAAATATGTTGATGTTAAATAATTAATCATGTTATGTACTGTTGTAAATGAGTTAAGCTTAGTATTCAAATAATCTTTTTCTTATTCTCTAACCTTTTCTTTCTCTTGCTATTACGTTAGCCTAGGCTACTACAGCTAGAAACAACTAATTAATTAAGGTTTATTTTTTACCTTGGGGAATGTGAACTATTCCAACAGTCAGTCCCGCTATGATATCTCCTAACAGCCATTTTTTGAGCTTGTATTTGGGCAGCCAGCTGCACACGGGCAGTCTCTTCTTGAGCAGGTGAACACACTCCACCTGAGAGCAGCTGCATCTCTGCGCCAGTCTGTCGCGGAGCCGCTCTCTCCCACTAGACTGCGCTTCCGTGCCATACGTCTGTCTGAAGCGATCCTCAGTGTATATGTTTCTATATACAGCCACTGATGCGCTCATCTCGTCCTAACGTGTTCTTCCGAGAGCAAGGTAAATAATCTTCATTAAACTGCTCCAAAAAAGTGCCCAACCCGTCATTTATAGTAGGAGTCGCTGGAATTTGACATCAGGAACAATTGTATTTTCCTGTCAAGTACTGGAGCCAATTGAACAGCAGGTTTTTTTTTTTTTATAAAGTCAAAGTCGGACGGCAAAAAAAAGAAAAAAAAAAGCTACTTTGGAGCTTAATACTTGACAAACCTCAGTGTTAAATGTCTTGCAACTCTTCCAGGTCCTACTGCTAAAGGCTTTTTAAAAAGCAAACAATGACATGGACACTCTCATCTTTAACACATAGACCAGCTCTCAGTCCCTCCTCCCCATCATGGCCCGAAACTCTTCAAAAAAGACTCTTTCTTCGTGGCTATGACATGAGGAATCATGGAGTAGCCTATAGAAAGCGTACAATGTATAGCTCTGTGAGACATCTGCATTATGATCAAAGTACTATTGTTTACAGGGTGAAGGTGAAACCTCAAACCACAACTATTAGCCTACTGATTATTAGAGGAGGTCATTTCTGGGAGGGAGTCGATTTCTCCCTGCCTTTGGTGTCTTTATGGACTTTGAGGAACCAAAGCTGCCTTCTGAAGTGTAATGATATGTTTTCTTTGCCTCGCTGATCAAACTGCAATATGATTCTGGTGAGTGTGCGTTATATTCCCTTAATATGGTTAAGAGGAAGCAAATGTCAATTTGGGATGACATTTTTGGATTATAGAAGTGGAACATCACCTGAGTAGCCTATAGAGACCAAGTATGTTATATAACCCTTTAAATAAAAAGATTTAATTCATGAAAATCTTATAGTTGCATGTTCTTCATTTGTCAAGTATTTTCTTTTGTCTGAAAAGCAACTTGCGTTGATAAAATTCAATGAAAAATGGGTGAGCCTGCAGTTTTAGTGTGAACGTGGTGGAGATCACTTCAGCGCTGGCTCAGCCAACAAAACCAGTGACGTTTGTACCTCTAGACAATGTCACGGGTGCCTGAGATTGCAATCTGACAAAGTGTCCAACCCTTAAAACAAAGAGTGATACAATATAAAAGGAACAGTTGTTTTGGTAATATAGCCCAGTATTAGGACGCATGAATGAACCTCTTCCTGGCCATGTTTGTTGGTTCGTGCAGAATGCCACACACCTGCGCTGGGTCAGACTCGGCAGCCACTGTCCCACTGCAAACTCTTGGTTAAGGTGGTACTGTTGTAGTTCTTATTTATCTCTGTATGACTTCTGACCAGGGTTATTGCATTATGAAAGGTATTCGAAAAAGCATAAAATAAAATTAAAGTAAAATTTAATATAAAAAAATTATGTTAGGCCTACTTATTATTTCAGCTGTAGTTGCCGTTGCAATATTGCTTTATTTTCGTTTAGTTTAAATTGAAGTAATGAAATAACTATAACTAAATATTACGTAAAAAAACTGAAACTAATAAAAATGACTGATTGAGGAAAATGTGGCTAAAGTGCATGAACTTTATTACTAATTATCTCATACATTCTTTAACAGATTGTTCCCATTACACAAACCTTTTACATCAGCATCAGACATTCGTTTCGTAACTTTTTATTTGTCACTATGGCGGTATTGCAAAAGCCCAGAGGGGATGGCTTCACAATGTCTTCACCATTGGTTACATTTCAAAATGTAAAGTGTATCCATTTTGGGTTTATTTTTAATTATAAGAGAAAAATACAGTTGTTTTGATCCCATATTCCAAGAATCTCCAGGTCTCTGTAGATATGCTCTGATATGTGGAGGTTTTTTTTGTTAAGGAATGCAGCCATTGTGTTCATCAGCTCAGGAGAATTTATGGACACGCTGATGGCGTGTTGCGTCTGGTGACTGTTTAAACAAGATATTAATCAGCGGTGAAAGGAACAATGCGCTGAATGGAAGAGGATATGGAGTGTTGAACTCCTCTCCCCCTCGAAAGCAAGATGAAGCCAAGCACTCCAAGAAAAGACAGGTTATGTTAAACCAGAACAAAGGCAATATAAACAAGAGTGACACTCTGATTCCCTTCGACTGGAGTGTGTTTACAGCTAATGTCCGTCTGCTCTGAGATGACAGGCGGTGGGTAGTTAATAAAGCACATATTTCGGTATTGGGCATATTTCCCCATTGACTGCCCAGTCCTGTAATGCTGCAAACAGCTGAATGATGAAAGCATTTGGAATTAGGGATTTCTAATCCTTTTTTGAACATATCACATTTTGTTCATGAGGGCGGCCTTTTGTTAAACGCATTCATTTAATGTACAAATCAAAAGGAAAAGTGCAAAAGTTAATAGTGCTGTTACAGAAAGATGGATTTTTGTGAACTCATTGTCATTGCATAGTTTGTATTGCATAAAATAAAGCATGTCATATGATAGTACATGCATCAGGGAGAGACAAAGTTAGTTTTCTTTGGCTCCAAATCTTTCTGTGGTATAATTTCCCTAGTTGTATATGCAATAATTGCATTAACAATATCTTGTTAACCTCCATGCATGCCCCCCTCACGCTGAGAGTGTGTTGTGGTCCTCGGCTATTGTCGTCTGCTTCATCGTGCTGTTCTTGTTTTGGGAGGGCTGTCCTAATAATTTGTCAAAATTCTATAGTTCCTCTTATTGTTCCTTATCTTTTTTATGGGCTACTTCATCTTCCCCTCACTTGTGTGTCCTTTGCTCTGACCTCGACAGCGAGACGGGTGCTGAACCTATCTTTCTGTCGCCATCCGACCACCTCTCCCTTCCCGTTCTATCACGAGTGTGTCTCCACATTAAAAGCATATGTTATAATTAATAAGGATTAGTTCTCTTTTTTTCCTTATCATCCACTGTGATCTCTCCATACTGTTTTACTACATGATCATCTTAGCAGTTAGTACTGGACATCAATACCAGAGAATATTCCCTTATGGACATATTGTATATTACCCTTCTTGTAACATTTTATCATGTTGTGTTTGTGAGTGTTACAGCCTAAATGGTTTTGTTAAAAGTTATATGTAATGTTTGGCAATTCCATTTTATTATTACTTATACTATATTATTAAAATGCATATACTGTATGCATATAGATAGATGACAGACAGACAGACAGACAGACAGACAGACAGACAGACAGACAGACAGACAGACAGACAGACAGACAGATAGATAGATAGATAGATAGATAGATAGATAGATAGATAGATAGATAGATAGATAGATAGATAGATAGATAGATAGATAGATAGATAGATAGATAGATAGATAGATAGATAGATAGATAGATAGGTTTTTCTTTAAAAAATTTATACATACGTACCTCCATAAGCAACATCTGCAAAATATGTTTTTAAGTTCTATAATGGCTCTGCGCAGAATAAGCCAGAAAAAAACTGATTACAAAAACAGAAGGTTTGGGGTCATTGAGTGCTGACTCCGAAAAAGCAGCACAGTAAAACGCTTACAAAGTTTAAATAGTTTTGAACCATGGTAACTTGTCTTTTCATTGGGAAAACAGGAGTGTGACCGGCGTCTGAACAGCAGCAGGAGAGGAAGGGGAGTGGAAGGACATGCAGTGGCCTTCTGTTCTCTGTGGAGGATAACCCGAGCAGACACACCTTGACCTCTAATCTCACACTACTCTATATATACTGTATTTGATAGATATAGCCTACATGCAGTACCTTCTCAACTTTTATTGTAAGTAGAGATGAATTAGAAAGTATGAGAAAGTATTAGTGTAGCAGTGGATTGTGCTCTGGGGAATTACTGTTCCGGGCCCTTACTTAAAGCATTGTGCTGCTCTTGCCCTGTTGGGACACAACCTTGAACTACATTGTGAAATTTTCTTTGCATTGTCCGCAGCTCCATCACTGTGTTCTCCACCCATGTGGCCCTCAAATTCTATATTCCCTCTTTATACGACCCCTGAGGATCTCAGTGGAGATTGATGACAAATATTTGGTGCCAGAGAGCAGTCTTGGGTGGACCCAGGTCAGCTCTCTCTCTCTCTCTCTCTCTCTCTCTCTCTCTCTCTCTCTCTCTCTCTCTCTCTCTCTCTCTCTCTCTCTCTCTCTCTCTCTCTCTCTCTCTCTCTCTCTCTCTCTCTCTCTCTCTCTCTCTCTCTCACACACACACACACACACACACACACACACACACACACACAGTCACACACACACACACTCATCTTAAGTAAAGGGTCCAGAGATCCTGAAGGACTCTTGGCTCTAAAAGAGAGCTGACATCAGTGATTTCTAGGCCACTCTGTCAGACTGGTTTCATTTGTTTATGCCAAATGTCGTTGAGATGGTCAAAATGTCATGTTCATGGATAACCAGTAATGGTTTTGGTTTAGAGAATGATTAGCGATAATGAAACAGTGAGTTCTTACAGTATTGCTTGGATGCGCAGTTTTACTAAACAAATGACAAAAACAAAAAAGTATTCTAAGAGTGAAACACTGACATGGTCAGTTTTGCAAGAGAGGCTGTAATGGAGGTACTTACAGTACTTGTCTTGTTCCACCTCGCATACACTGAGTCAGATAGGGTCATATATACAGTCACCCTGAATTAATCATATGAATGTCACCATGTTATATTTAATGATCACTGGATTATGATTCCACATATAATTATTATTATTTTATTTAAAAAATTTTAACATATTTTTAAAAAATGTTTTGTCAAATAACAAATGTTATATTAATATTATTAAAATATAGCCTATAAAAATTATTTTTAATATATGATTCAAAAGTTAGATTTTTTTATTTAAATTAGATTTTTATAAGTTCCTAAAATATATATTTTATATGAATATTCATATTAATTAAAAATAATATTACATAAATTGTTATTTATATGATTTATAAACTTATGAATTAATATTTCTGTGATACTTGAATCAGTTTCATTCAGATGACCAAATAAAGTAGATATGTTGGAGAGCCTTGATGCTTGTTTTTGAGTGAAGTTTAAAACACGATATTGTAATGGCAAGGCTTTCTGCAATCAGTAAGAGCAAGGATGTGATGAGTTGTGTTAAAAGACTGGGGGGAGGAAGAGACCCAAAGAAAGGTCTGCCATATTCTTTAGAATCAAGGTTTTATCATAGCTAATGATGTGTGCCAAATCCA